GTCTAGAAAGCTCCGCAGATGGCTTTGCAAGACTTTTCATTAATTGGGAACGATTTGCAACACAAAGTTTCTGTATGGCTTCACCTCCTGTGTCTAATTACTATGATTTGAATCACAGGGCAATACTTGAAATGCTGGATGATTATACTCATTGTGGTGACCCCTCTCTCTCCAGCATGAAGAGGAAGTGAAATAGGAGGTATGAGAAACCTGACCTGGTTCTTTTTGGCACTTTACAAGAACCTGACTTCAGTCGACCATTTATCTCTAAGAAATTTAGTTGAAGGGGGAAAAGAGAAAATTCAAAGCTTCAATTTAGGAGGTTCTCTGTTCTCCATTTGAATGTGGGTCACTTTGCATAGATTTGCCTAGAACCATGCTTACACAAATACTACATGTGTGTTTTTGTACCCACTTGCCTCCCTCTGATACTGACTGTGCTTGCACACTCCTCAGTGTCATGTGGTATTTTCAACCAATGGTCACAACACGCCAACTTGGAAACTCTAACCGAGATGTTTTGACTTGACTGACACTAAAGAAACAGCGCAATAAGGTCTGCGCTAATCTGCTTTGTTGTACAGAGTTCGACAAAATGATTGACATCGTGACAGTTATCTAACACGATTACAGATTTCACACATTTGGCTTTATCAAACTGCTAGTGGTGGAAGGGAGATGTTTATCGTGTGGAACACTCTTATCTTACCACGTTTCAACTTTTAATGTAACACGAACATGTGATTCTGACCTGCGGATGTTCCAGATTAATATCTTGGTGCCTTTTTTGGAGGGAATCGAGTCAAAATGTGAATGTATCTGCTCCAGGGATTTGACGATCGAGTGGTCGAGGACAGCCGTCAGACTGGCCTGTGAATCCTCGGTCACAACTAATAACTGTAACACCGAATTAAGGTCAGAACATAAGGGAGCGTGTATGGTAATAAACACATATACATAATATATTTGTTTCTTGTTATCTGCCTTAAACCTGGCCTGACTATTTTAATTCATGTCACCCCTTGCCCACCGCCCCCACCCACACACCCTGTGCCATTCAAATGATCTCATCAGTTCTCACACTAAAAAAAATCAGGAAGTCATACTGATGTAGAACGCCTACGCATCAGCAAATTCACACAGTAAACCTAATATTGTATCCTAACATTTCCCAGTCCCTTTGTGAAGGATATTGGTTTGCTGGTTGAAAGGGACAATGGGGACGATGACAGCCTGGGCTTTAATGCTTTCCAGGTAGGTCTGCGACAGCATCCCCACAGTCTGACAGCCGCCGTTCTTGGTGAAGATGAGCGCGTCACGCCCCAAGCGCATGGAGCCCGACTTAAAGCCGTTGCCGTAAACCCCGATGGCCTGCTGACTGGCCTTACCCGAGCCCTTCTCTGTAAAACCAAAGCTGGACACAAAAGCGAGCAAGCGTTAATTATCGAACACTGAGAAGCAAGCTGAGAAGACGAAACTAGCCTAATGTGTGAATGTGACACAAAGTGGCACATGTGAGGCCACAGTTGGAAACTGCGCGTGTGTGTCTGTGGGTTAAACGCAGAAAAGAGGAACACAATCGGTACGCAGCACTACTGTGTCTTTCTATGTTTCTTTTTTTCCCTTGTGTGTGAACTTCACACGTGTCTCACCTGAGCATCTTGTGCAGTTTGTTGGGGGTCATGCCGCTGCCGTTATCGATGAAAGACAGACAGAGGTGATCCGTTTCATGAACTACATCTATCCAGAACTGTTTAGCGCACACACCGGGGTCTGAGGCATTGTCTAGAAGACGACACAGAAAATTGGAAATAAGAAAAACAAGAGAAGCACATGGGGTGGCTAGTTTCTTTAATGCCTTCCTTATATTTCTTTACAAGGTGAACTTCCTGCAGGCATAGTCAAAGTGATACTGCACATTATAGATCAGCTGCAGGAAGAAAAATCATTAGATCGACAACTCCACTGCTGATCTCTGAACGCTTCTGCATGTGCTGTAATCTATACTTCAACGTGGGGCACAGCCACCAATTGCGTCACACCATGATCAACAAACATCGAACATACGGAGTTTGGAACTTTCTGCAGGGTTATTGCGAATTACTGCGCGCTTATTCCAAGAAGCACGTGACTCCCTTTGTTGTTTCTAAACTTTATCCTGTACTTTCACGTGGGACAGTGGTGCGAATGCATTTCTACAGCGCACTCCCTTCGCTGTTCCGGTTTTTAAAAAAGCCTCAGCAGCCAACAGACGGTCAGCACGCGTGAACCAATGAGAGCGCACAGAGTGGAGGAATGGCACTGTTGACAGCCCAGACACGATCCACTTATGTCACATGAAGGCGCAAATAAACTACTGCTGCATATTTACCAATAAGTTT